CTTCTTGCCCACAACTACCTCATATGTTATATATAAATAATCCATTAGGAAATGCCAGGAATTGCTACTTTTGCTCACAGGTTCAATCCTATGCACACTTTTCCAAGACTAAGTCTCGTTGAACTCAATGGAACTTACTGTGGAGTAGACATGTGTAGGATCATGACTTAGGATGCTAATTTTTAGTCTAAAGGAATGACTTGTGTGATTTTAACATCATAGAGACAGGGAGGATCCATTTCAAATTTCAGAAAGGCAGGTGTGTTTGAAGGAACACAGGAACCTAGGTAGCAGACTTAATCTGAGTGACACCATTGGTCCATCTAGCTCAGGGGTCAGCAAACTTTTTCAGCAGGGGGCTGGTCCACTGTCCCTCAGACCTTGTGGAGGGCCAGACTATATTTTGAAAGGAAAAAAAATGAACGAATTCCTATGCCCCACAAATAACCCAGCGATGCATTTTAAATAAAAGGACACATTGTACTCATGTAAAAACACGTTGATTCCAGGACCATCCGTGGGCCAGATTGAGAAGGCGATTGGGCCGCATCTGGCCCCTGGGACTTAGGTTGCCTACCCCGATCTAGCTCAATATTGTTCACACTCACTGGCAGTGACTTTCCAAGGTTTCAGGCAGGGGTTTCTCTGAGCCCTTCCTGGAGATGCCAGGGATTGAACCTGGGACCTTCTGCATGCAGATCACATGCCACTGAGCTGCATGGCCAAAACAGTTCTTGGACAGCTTCAAGTTTAAATAGCACATTTTTGAAAGTTGGAATTCATTGCTTGGGATTCCACCGGTCTAAACTCTGTTGTGAACTTACAGAAGATACAGATTTGGTTCTTGTCCCTCAGTTCTTGTCTGCTATTTCACATGCGGGGAAAGTACCTTGGGCATAAGGTATGGAGAGGGAAAGTGGGAGATATGAAAAATGTTAAGCACTCCTTACCCTCTGTCACCTTTCTGCTTTAAGATGCTCTCTCCATATGATATTTTCCAAAGTAAATGAAAATTACTGAGTAGAGTAAGAAATATCAAATCAAAGTACAGTGGTACCTCGGGTTACAGACGCTTCAGGTTACAGACTCCTCTAACCCAGAAATAGTACCTCGGGTTAAGAACTTTGCTTCAGGATGAGAACAGAAATCGTGCGGCAGCAGCGCGGTGGCAGCGGGAGGCCCCATTAGCTGAAGTGGTACCTCATGTTAAGAACAGTTTCAGGTTAAGAACGGACCTCCAGAACGAATTAAGCTCTTAACCCGAGGTACCACTGTAGATTAAAGTTCCACTGACTCCTTCATTTGAGTTTATTAGCTGCTAACAATTTGAGAGACATTTCACTTTGAATCAGAAAGAACTGTTGTAGACAACTGGTAAACCAAACTTCATGTTTAGGCTTTCAAAATAAGGAATGGAGATTTGTGTTTTCATCCCTTAGCAAAATAGTAGGAGTATCAACTATATTTTAGAAAATATTTTGACTACTTCCATTACCAGAGGCTTTTGTTTAATGTTTTGGCTCAATGGCAAAATAATGATTGCGTAGCTCAATGCATAAAACTGTAACTAATCTAACCAGACATACAATATTGACAAAGTTAAAGGGGTCTTCTTGGCAGAGTAATTCTGTATTCACACTATGGTGGGACCAGAGACATGCAGCCACTACACTAGCAGAATGGCAGCTGCATCCAATGTATGCTCAGCCTGGGGGTGGGGGTGGGGGGAAGGGGAAGGATATAACACACGATCAGAAAATACAAAAAGGCAGATACACTTGCAGCATTCCTGGCAGGTCTGGCCCAAGGCTGGCCCTTTTATCTGGTCATTTTATTTACTTCTCTATCCCATTTTTGAGCTGCTTCCTATAAAGCATTTCAAAGTGATTTCACAGTGACATGCAGATGTAAGATGTTTGCAGGATGCCCTCTCCTGCAGAGCACAGCGATGGGCTGAGTAGAAATCCCAAAATTGATTCTATCATACCCTCCAACATTTCTCCAGTGAAAATAGAGATGTCCCCTCCAATATTTCTCTGATGAAAATAGGGACGTCCTTCTAAGACCCAGTGTTGCCTTTCAGAACTTAGCAAAGAGGAAGATGGGTATGAAACTAGAATTTGTTGGGTTCTGTCTGCCATTTGCTTTGACTTCACCTACTGTTGCTCTTTCTGCCTTCTGTTCTACCAGTCCCTATGGGCACAAGCCACCAATGGCCCCACCCCAAGCGAAACAATATATAACTGGACACTGTGGAGGCAGTAGCAGGGACCAACTTTTTCTGTTTCACAATTTCAGCTCAGTGCAGGAGATTATAGAGTGTGCTCTGTAACCTTCTTTAATTTTTTGCTCCCAAACTGGGAAGCAGACAGCAGGGCTATGTTAAAGCAAAAGCATAGGATCAGCTCTCTTCAATAGGCGATGTAGGCCTGTCATTGTGCCATCACCAGGCCCACAGACCCTCCAGCATCTATCCAGATTTCTGCTTCCTGGGCTGCTTGTGACATCTGGGCTGCAGTTTGGCCAGCCATACTGTGGACAGCACCATATTAATGGCAGTGCAGGTGGTTCCCCCACATAGGGCACTGAGCTGAGGGGGCGCAAAATAATAATAACAGCAATCAATATTTTAATGGGCACCTACTCAACGTATGTAAGGACAGCCTCCGGCAGATTGAGCAGGCAAGACCAATAGTAGGTCTGACGGTCAAGAAGGCGGTTTCTGCACATGCTGTCGAAGTGAGGGGTAGATGGGGCTCATCAACCTGGGAAGGTAGCCCATATAGGAGAAGGAAAACTCTGGTCCTAAACCTCGCTGCCTTATGGCTATACTTATTTGTGAGAAAGTCTTCGGGAGTAAACCCTGAGGAAAAATCTGTATCTGCTTTGGGAGAAGAGAAGGAGTAAACCCTACACAAATCTGGAGTGGAACCCCTAAGAAGGTTAGATGGCATCTTGTATGCCTCCTTCCATCAACTCCTGCAGCCACGTTGGTGCTAAATATATTGCTCTGATTTCCTTTGGACCACATCAGTGAGGCCAAAAGAGGAGCCTTGTCATCTGGGCAGCCCAGGACCTTCATACACACTGCCCAGGCTTGCGCCGCAGAGAGGTCACTTTGGCGCTGCTAATGCAGCAAAAACAACGGGGGAGGCAGCAGTTATGAGTTACTAGCCTCTGCAGCCACATCAGGCACTGTGATTCTCCAGCAGATTGACTTCACCACTGGAGGTGCACTCCATTGTCTTTCGAGATAGATGAATGCCAGGAAATACAGGTAACTACTCAAAATACCAAAAGGAATTATTGTGAAAACAAGAACTATTTGGTGCGTGTGTGCGTGTGCCACATTTTGTCATTGCTTAAGGTGCCTTATTACCAAAGTCTGGCCCACTGGTATGATCCAGGAACATCATATATATTTTCCAGGACATTCCAACACCATATTATTTACACCTTTAAATAGACGATTGAGCCTTATGTAGCAATAAGGCATTGAGCGGCCTTCTTTAGGCATCTTGCAATTTCTTTGGTAGAATTAAAGTGTCATTGCTTGCTGCTTTAACCACTGTATCTTTCTTCCACAATGGCTGTCCATTAAAAAACCCCACCTCTGTCTGAAACCATGCCAGTCAGTGTGTATTAGACTATCTTTTTGGGTCAAGGGCCGTATGTTCCTGGGGAGAAAGTGGTTGGGTAGCACATACTAATGGCGGTGTCCAGGCCCAAAACAAAAAAAGGAGAAGATACACCCCACAACTTCCTCTTCCGCCCTCTTTCCCCCCTTCATTAGTCAGCCATCCATTCTCTCTCCCCTGCCCCCACTCTCTCACACATTCACAACAACAGACATCTTCATCTCTCTCTCTCTCTCTCTCTCTCTCTCTCTCTCTCAGAGCTTGAGGGGCCACCCGAAAGGAAGTGGAGGGCCACAAGTTGTCCCCCATGTGGTATAGTCAATACTGAGGTAGATGGATCTGCGATCTGACTTGACTGTGAACCAGCTTCACGTGTTCTCTGTATGCAAAGTGGGTAAGGACCTGAGTATATTGTGTGTATACCCAGAGTGCTCCTCTCTGTTTCTGTTGCTTCCATTACTTTCTCCTGTGAATACTCTGTCCACTGACATCACACAATATTTTTACTGAATGTTTGAGGGGCCTGATCTTGAAGATTTCCTCAGGCCTCCCAGACCTGGCACTGCTTCTGCCGAACATTGAAGGCGCTCCAATCTGTAACCCCATAATATGGGATTCCTGGCTCTGGGTGATTGGCTACCCTTCCTGCTGCTGTTGCATTCTTCACGGACCTAGTGTTATGCCCTCAGCTTTTGCTGTATAAGTGGCTGAAATGCTCCCTGCCTAAGTAATTCCAACTATATTCTGCTAAATGTGAACCAGATGTTTCCCTGACCCCCTTTTGCTCTCAAGTCAAGCTGCTTCTGTAGCTTTTCATAGGCAGGCATTCAGGTGACTGAACATCTTTCCCAAGTTATCAGTTTATTCATTCCGGCTTCACAATTGCCATGAAAATAAACCTATTAACAGTGCTTCAAGTGTCGGCTTCACACAGTACTGCCTGATCAACCAAACACTTCTCTGTTGCCTAAGGTACTGATAGTACAAGCTATAATATCATTATATAAAGAAAACTTATGAAAAACAAAATATATGTGTAATTTATCAGATATATAATTATTAGCACTAGGGATTAGGGAACCAAACTGAATGCCAGCTGTGTGTGGGAAGGGGATGGTGGGGGCAGAAAAACTGTGGGAAAGGTTGAACGTTTTGAAAGGGAAAAGGGTTGACTTTTGCCTCTTTGTAGTCAGGGGTAGGGGTGAGTGAAATAATAACCTAATATCCCACAGTAAAAAAACCCCCAAAAAACCAGATGGTACCCAATCACTGTGTTTCCTGTGCAAAACTCCGCCCCTTTCATTTTTGGCTGTGCAAAAGACTCTTGGAAAGATTTGCCCTTCGTGGCTCGCACAGACTAACATATAAAAGCTGTTAGCAGCTCCTGTAGCCAGCCGCTAGAAAGCTTGCAAAGTTTCTCTCTCCCTCTCCCTCTCTTTCTCTTTGAGGGTTTGTAATAAGACACACACTTCTTTCCAAGGGTTCACACTAGAGCACAGACAAGAGCTGTTTAACTTGGAAGGACAATACACTAGGCTTTTTGGTTCTGCAAAGAGGTAAGCCATTGAGCTCTGTCAGTTTGCTTTGCATGCACTTTTTTATTAATGCACATCCTATTTTGCTGGACTCAGTTATTAGCCGTACGAGTGAGATACTGTGTTTCCATGTCTTCTCAGGTTTCTTGCCTATCGCTTTGCTGTTGAATATTTATTGCGGGTGTAGGGTGGGGGGAATGAGTGCAAAAGCACATTCCTAATCACCAGGATGGATGGAGCTTTCATTGTCAGGCTATTAGATGCTCTATGCAGTAGTCAGATGGCCAGTAATAAATCCTGTTGTATGTTATAGGGCAATGTGTGTATATGGTTGCTAGGCAACTTGAGACAAAGCAAGGTATTATTTGACTCTCTGGAAACATTATAGTTTGAGTTACCTTATGTAGATGACTAAACAGTTGAAGAGCTAGGTAAAAATACTATAAATGAATAAACTCAAGGTTGGGGAAAACTCATCTGAAAGAGAAAGATATTCACACTCACCCCAGTCACATTATTTAACCATTTTCCCTTCACAGATCTTCTGCTTACCATTGTGAGTTGAAGTAAATCTTTGCTCCCCACCCCACCACCAGGGCCCAAAATGACAGTAATTTCTGCCATCAGTGGTACCCTCTTGATTTCCATTCTCTGTGAAACAAGTGCAATAGAGTCACACAACTCCACTGAGCTGTTCTTGTCAGCCAATAATTACACGGACGCTGGAGCGGCCTTGAACATTCCTCCGGATTCTGCAAGCCCTCCCAAAACCAGGAGGAAACGATATATTTCACAGAATGACATGATTGCCATTCTGGATTATCACAACCAAGTCAGAGGCAAAGTCTTCCCACCAGCATCTAACATGGAATATATGGTAAGTGGACGTTCATTTACTTCCCTACCCACTCCTGAACTTTAGAAAGTATAAAGCTGATGTTTCATGCTACTAAGCCAAAGTGGCGCCAAACCGGATGTTGTTGGACTCCAACTCCCATCAGCCCCAGGCAGCATGGCCACTGTCCAGGAATGAAGGGAGTGGTAGTCCAACAATGACTGGAAGGCAGTGCATTGGCTACCCTTAATATTACACTATGTCATTTCTTCCCCTCTCCTTTTCCACCCTCTTTTAAATTAGACCAGTAGCTTTTGAAACCTCTCTAGAGCTTTGAATGAACAGAATAACCCAGGCCACTTATGACACAGAAATTTGGGATAGGGTATAATAGTGGCTGCCATGCATCAGTTGTGCATTTTCTGAATGTCAGTAACCTCTTGCATTAATGCTGTATTGTTTGTATCACTGCAAGGTGCAATACACACTGATGGTGCTTTCTCTATGAAATACACAGAAACAATCAGAAGCAGGGGTGGAGGAGCTTTTCAATCTTCTTTGCAATGGTTTATCTGAATGTAGGGTTCCTACTATACCTAAAATAACAGAATGACCTCCAGATGTTGTTGAATTCCAGTAGTCATCATCTCTAACCAGCATGGCAAAATGGTCAGGGAATGAGGGAATTTGAATGAGGATTTGGGACGACTTGCTCATATTAATTTACAGCACTTCACCCATAGTTTAGTATCCATGCTTTAATGCTCCCATGGTTTTTAAGGGTTAAACATAACCCTAAAAACCATGGCACTATTAAAGCATGGATATTTTTTAACACTCCGGTTATCATGATATGTTTGTGTGATACTTGGTTTCTGCTTTTGAGAGAGAGAAAGCCAGGAATAGAAGGAAGTATGTTAACATTGCTATGGGACATATTAACATTGCAGACTTGAACTACGTGAACTGCCATTCCCTCTTTCCAGGAAATCATGGTGCTTGTGGTTCTGTGAGGGATATTACTGATCTGTAAAAGAGAATTCTCATCCTGTTCTGCAAACTACAGTCTCCAAGATTCATTTTTTTTTTTTTTTAAGGGAGGGAGGGAAAAGTCATGGCAGTTACCTAATGTGAAGCCAATAAAAGTTTGTAGTGGATTGGCTTAGGTTCAGTTCTCCCCCACTGTACCTGACAATGTAGGCTATTGTTCAGGAAAGCTCATTGTGCATTTAGTAAGTGCAACTGTGCCACAGCACTTTTGAGTTCTCTTCACCTTGGTTATCTCCTGATACAGGGACAGCTCTCCAGATGTTTAAGATGACAACCCCATCAGCCCAAGTCAGCATGGCCAATGGTCAGGGATGACAGAGGCTGTAGTCTAATAACATCTGGAAGGTCACAAGTTTCCTATCTCTGCCTTAAGCAGAGGTGTAGGAAGGGGGAGTGGAAGGGGCGGGTCGCCCTGGGTGCCACTCTGGGAGGGGTGACAAGATGGCCGTCCATATGCGTGCCGTCCGTATGGGCTGCCTCTCGCATGGCGACTGTACGGGCTGCTGCATGTGCTCAGTCCATATGGGATGCCGCTCAAGCGGCAGCCCATATGGCTGCCACACGTGAGTGGCAGCCTGTACGGACTGCGCATGTGTGGCATTCCGTACTGAGTGTTCATGCGTGGGATGCCACAGATGTGCAGTCCATACGGGCTGCGCCGCTCCAGGTGCCGGAGAGAGTTCTTCCACCACTGACCTTAAGGACTAATAATATAAACAGATATAATAGACCCAGGACGAAAACAGAGAGAGGGATAGAAGGGATCAGGGAAGAACAACTTTAAATTGGAATTCAGCACAAAACCGCCTAGAACGGACCATCCTCAGCTTATCTAGGAGTTGGGATATAGATCATAGATTTCCTGCCACCTTCTCCTACTGCCTTGTCCCCCACAAAAGGCAGTTAATGTTGCATGGTCATTTTGCACATGGCACCGTTTCCTTGTGGTTGAATCTCATACTGCAGCAGTAACATCTAAAATCTATTAATTATATGGGATGGTGGATTGCCTGGTACTTTACCACTCCCATACAAGCTGCCCTTTTGCCTCACATGCCCCATCCAACCCACATGCTCACCAGATATTTTTTTTCTTTAGCTTTTATATTAGAAGAGCATCAAATATGCAACAAAGTAAACAAGAATAGAATGACTTTCTTTGGCTGAAATCCCTCCTTCCTGCCTCATCACTAAAATAACCACCCCATTCCCAGAAAATATAAATTCCATATACAGTGTTGTACATCCAGGTCATTCATCTTCTTTCTACAACATCACAAGAGACATCAGGGGAAAATATGTAAAACACACAAACACATGAAAACGGGGATCAGAAAGAGCAGGAGATAATCCCAGTGACTGAGCAAACATGCCAGTAGCCCAAGTGTTTAGTCAATGCATTCTAAGGATGGATTCCTGATTCCTTCCCCTCCCCCAATGTTTGCAAAGCTTGCTGTCTTGTATAAGCAGTCTGTGTCTTGGAAGCCAATTTTACCATTTCCGCCATTCAGGTTTGGATTACCTTTGCTGTCGAAGCTTTTCATACCAGACATTTGGCAATAAGTGCAGCACGCTGGAACCAAGCTTGCTGAGAGCCAGGAAATGCCCATGTTCTTGGAATGCAGCCAATCATTAGGTTTGTGGATTCTAAGGGACCAGAATACCTTGTGGTATTGACCAAAAAAATTTCAGGACCCAACAGAATCATCAGCTGAGTGAGATGGACCCAACCTTAACTGTATTCCCCACAATGTAAACTAGAAGAAAAATCTTGCTTAACAAGAGTCATGGGGCGAACCAGTTGATATGCAAGGAAATGGTTGGTTGAATCAGTCTTGTAAATCTAGCAGTTCCCATAGTTCTCTCTACGCATGAAACCTTGCAAATATATAATTGCACAACCAGATTTAGAGCTCTGTTGCATATTAAAGAATCTAGATTTGCTCTTCCTCCCTCATTAAGTTATAATATTGGGATGGGGGGGGGGAAGTCAGACAATAACCCAATGTTCAAGGAAAGTGGGAAGGTGTTGAGCGGATGTGCAGCAGCCCTGCTCCTCTTTGGCTGCCATCATTGCAGGGAGTCCTGGCATGTGCTGTCTGTGTAGTAAACTAAATGTACAAATACCTTTCTCACTCACTCTGAATGCACAGATGTAGGGGTGAGCTAGCTCTTGTGTCCCAGTGACTCATCTCTAGCATTCCTTGAACTTGTTGAGAGGTTGTATGGTAAAAGGTAAAGGTAAAGGTCCAGTCAATTCGACTGTGGGCTATGGCTCTCATTGCTGCTTACAGGCCGAGGGAGCCAGCGTTTGTCCACAGACAGCTTTCTGGGTCATGTGGCCAGCATGACTAAACCGCTTCTGGCACAACAGGACACCGTGATGGAAGCCAGAGCATTTGGAAACTCTGTTAAGCTTCCTGCCACAGCAGTACCTATTTATCTATTCAAGTTGGTATGCTTTCAAACTGCTAGGTTAGCAGAAGCTGGGACAGAGCAACAGGGGCTCACCCCATCATGATCTAGCTCTCCAAAATTTCAGACAGAAGTCTTTCCCAGTCCCACTTGGAGATGCTGGGCCTTCTTCATGCATCTGTTCTGCTGCTGAGCTACAGCTTAGTGAAGCACTTTTGAGGGTACTTCCCTGTGTGTCTTCATTATTCCTACTTGATGCACAAAACTTGTAGCTGACAAGATTCTTATTTGATCTTACAGGTGGTTATGAGGTATGGTGAAAGAGTTAACTTCCAAGATATGTTGCAGTCATGTTATTTAGGATTTAATAGTTTATGACCAGCATCTTAAGTTGTCCCTGGAATGCTTCAGGAAGCCAATGCACACTCTGGAGCACCTGCCAGTAATGTGATCCTGCCATTCTAGCCCCCTGGAGATGAATTACTATGTACTACAGCAGCTCTACATATAAAATTTCATTTCTTTGCAGCTTTCAGTGAATGCATTTTAATGTAACAAATAGGCTGGCTCAGCAGAAATTCTGTTACCTACTGAGTAAAGAATTCACATAGTTCTGAAAGGGCTATTGTTTTATTATACAAGAATAATGTTCATCTTAAAGTCACAGGAGCATCTTAGATGGCCACGTATTGCTAACGACTTATCAGCAATATTGACTTATTTTGAGTAGAAAATTCAAAGGAAGGAAGGAAGGAAGGAAGGAAGGAAGGAAGGGCATAATTCAAACTTAATTTTAATAGGTGAACCTTTTTAGGAATAATTAACATATATAATATCAACGGAGGTTTTTTTTTAACTATATATAATAAATAAGTAAAAACAACAACAACAAGCAAATCTTCCCTTCAGGACTAGGAGGTGGTGCTCCAGTGTCAAGTTGTCTTACTCATGCTCCCCCATCTGAGTTTTGGAACTGTGCAGTGACAAGAAAATCACTTCAAAAGCAACAGTACTTTTCACTGCAGAGTTCAGGAAATTAATCAAGATAAACTGTGGAAATGAAAAGGGGGGAGCCCAGAACTATAACAATGGATATTTATTTAATCAATTTTGGAGAGAAAATCTAAGTTACTTGTTCTACTGCTACAATTTCTTTTCAGTCTCCAGTTTAAGATCCATAGGATTCAGCATCTCTATAGGAAACTATAGTTTCCTAACTACATTGCAACACTCATTATTTGAATCTTGTCCACTATTGTAGAGAGCTTCGCTGTCTATCTTTCACATCATGGTGGTCAATAGTGGGGAAGGGGGAATTCACTATGTGGTGGTCAATTTTCATCTGGTGAAAGTTCTACTAAACAATAAGGGAAGGAGAGTGGCAAATGCATCACATAAAAAGAGCCTGCAGAATCAGGCCAATGGCCCATCTAGTCCAAGATTCTGTACTCACAGTGTCCAAGCAGATGCCTGTAAGAAATTGGCAAACAGGACTCAAGCACTAGAGCATTCATTTCTCCTGTGGCTTCCAGCAACTTAAGTACACAGAGGTCTTAAGAAGACACTAAAAATGGCAGACCAATTAGGGGAACAATAGCATGTCCTCAGTATGCAATTATTATTGGTGTCTAGTACCATCAGCTACAATAATTCTGCAGAGGAGTCTGCCCCTTTTGGGATTTCTACCTTGCTGGACTCAATGCCCTCTTTGATGTACAGAGCGACACCACCAGGTTTCCATTTTGCTCACTATATCAATACTATCCTCTAACTCTTTCTCCTAGGGAAAGAGTTCCATAAGCTTGGCACCACCAAAGAGAAGGCACCAACACATGCAATTATTAACCTAGCTCCCAAACACTTTAGTTGAAATGGTATATATTTTGTATCTCCAAACACACACTATCCTTCTTGGCATAAATTCATACTGCACAATCCTACCTATGTCTAGAAGTATGCAATGGGATTTACTTCCAGGTAAGTGTGTCTAGAAAGTGCAGCCTGAATGAGCCTTTAATTTGATTATAAACTATCCATGTTTCACTGAAAGGTAGTCATTGCAAGTGACACTGGATCCCCTAGCATATTTTGAAGCTCAAATAGCAAATGTCACATGCAGTAGTTAGGAACACATTGTTCGTGCCTACAAATGTGCTGCGCTGAAAGGTCACAAAATGGGTTTGTATTCCAAGGCCACTGGAAAAGGAAAAGGACAAGCCTTCAGAAAACCACAACTGCATGTTTGTGTCAGTTCAGTCTTAGGGACATAGGAAACTGCCTTGCATTAGATCAGACTGGATGCTCATCTAGCCCAATATTGTCCACAGTGACTGACAGCTGGTCTCTAGATCTCAGGCAGAGGTCTCTCACATCACCTAGTATCTGATTCTTTTCACAGGAGAACCTGAGACCTGGGCCCTGCTGAATACAGAGTATGTGCTTTACTGCTTGGGGCTCACCCACACTTCCGCTTGGGTCTGAGCAGTTCTCTGCTTGTCTCATGCTTCCTAGCCATGAGTCCAAGTGGTTTTGCCTTTGCCCACTGCTTTCCCCTGGAAGACCCACTCTTTAGTGCTGAATCCATTGAAAACCCAATTGACATTTGTTCCAGTTGTGTGCTAAACTGTGGTTTTTCCCAAGGTGGGGGGAGTGTGGTGGGGCAAATGGAAGTGTGGACAAGTCCTTAGATAAATAACCTTCCCAGCTCAAGTTATGATCTTGCATTCAGTTATGGTTGCATAAAAGACCCTCTGAATTGTTACGAACTAAAAATGCACACTAAATCACAGGCGTAGGTTCACTCCACTGAATATCCTTAGAACCTTGCAATATTGTTTTGTACACAACAGTAGGTGGCAAAGGGCTGGGAGCTGAATCTTGCCCTACCTCCAAGTTCCTTTGATAGCAGATAAGTAGACTTGGGCACAAGGAGTCTTGTGACATGTTTGAATACTGTACCAATTTACTGTTAGTCACTCAAAGCTACTCTAAGAAGTTGTGTTGATGCAGAACCTGGTGGTTCTACTGCCTCATCTAACTTTCAATAATGTGTACTGTAGCATATAGAGGACAAGATGTTTTGTGGCACCAGCACTCAGAGTTGTTCAGGAGCAAGGTCAGAGAGAGATGGGGAAATGGAGCTACAATTTATATAACTTAGACAATGGCTCTGTGGACTTACACTGCCAGCCAAATATGGAAGAGACTGCAATTTTGAATAATGTATGGAAATGTTAGGTCCAAAGACATTGCTTAAGTAATGTCTGAAGAGCTTGCATTCATCAAGGAGCCAACTACTACCTAGGTAGCATATGCAGAGCGCAAGTAGCAGGTGGTTTGGGCTCTACAGCACCCAGGAGAGCTCCCAGATGGCACTTCAGGAAGGCAGTTGTTGACCCGCTAGAGTGCAATGCTCTTTTGAGCCTTTATATTCAAACAAGGCCTGAAAACTGTCAGAGTGCTGCTTCTCAGTTACAGAATTTCTAGGAACAACTTGCTGGCCTATGTTGACATTGAATGGTCTTGGACTGTGAACTATGCCCAGCTAATCAGATACACAATAGACAGTTCAAAATATCAGCCATGCAATAAAAGTAATCCCACTGAAGATTAACCTCAGTAACCCCCATACTATGTTGACTCAACCTTCAAACTACAGAGAAGGTGACCTTCCCATTTTTCCCCATTAACAAAAACATATTTAATGAGTGAGGAAGCTCTTACATAAACAAATCTGCTGTCAATCACCCTGCAGTTACTTTGTAAGTTAATTATTGTGCTAAGGAAAATGATGGGACAGGGGGAAAAGAAAAGAAAAGATGTGTGAGTGAAGAAGACATTGCTCAGTCAAAGATTTCAAATATTTTCACTGCAGTGATGCCCACTGCCAAAGTTAAAAGTTACTGTTCAACTTAAAAAGAGGCTTATCTCTTCAGCAGAGGGAAACTGCTGTGTCTGGCAGAGGAAGTGGATTTCTTGAAGGGAAATCTCTTGTGCATTCATGCCTCTTCTTTAGATCCCAACCCAGGAACCAACTGGGTAAAATCCCTGTCTCAGAGCTGGTTTCAGTAGCTCATTTCTATATTTGAGATTTGAAAACACATGCAGGGCAGAAGCCAGGAACTAATTGAAAGCATACGTCTTCAAAGCTTTAGAATACCAGAGGCAAATATTATAAACGTGTCTAATAAAGATCCTGGGACTTTCTCTGCAGGCCACTGCTTTTTACCGACATGTGACCATTCTGACATTATAAAGTCACAGCTCTTGCCTTTGGCTTTTGGTGGGATAAATCTTTGCTTACATTTCCAACATGCGAGAAAGGAAATGCAACATCAGAAGCCGCCGTCGGTGTGCAATGTCAGCCAAGAAACATTAACAAGGTCATAGTCATGTTCTTATCATTGCTTTGCCTTGATTTTGGCCAGACTGTCAAAGTGAATGTTTCCAAAACTGAACCTTGACTGCGATATACATGGATACATTAAGAGCACATAATGTCTTTAACATCACAAGATATGCATCTGTTTAAATGCATTGCTATGTTTTTGAAAATTGGCCAGGTCCCTATGAAGTTTTTAATGGCGTATTAAAATCTGAGAACGTGTAAAAAGCTGTAGATTTTTCAACTGACTTCCCTTCCCAGTCCCCCCAAATGATATAATCCACATGGTGGCTTTTTTGTAGCAACCGGCTGCAGACTGAACTAAAATTCTTATTGGAAATGTTTTAAAAAAATCAAGCCAGGAAATGTGTTAACAATGAAAGATCACAGAGCAGTTTTAACAAATAGACATTGGAAAGGATCGCCTTTTAGTACAAAGCGCTTCCTGAATTATTAAAAAAGAAAGGAAGAAAAAAGAAAGGAAGGAAGCAAGGAAGGAATGGCCTAGTTTGAATAGCTATGGCATGAGTGCTTCACTCCAGTTCTCCTGAAAGTGGTCTGATTGGAGGAATATGTACCATATGCAAATTTAATATTTGTGGAAAGTCTTTTAAAAGATCAGTCATCCCAAAATAAATGCAGCCAGATCCCTTGTGAAAGGCAGACATCAGAATTAGGCGTATATTAATGATTTAGTACAATTACTATCTGACTCTTGCCTCAGCTCTGAATGTAGAAAGATCCAATCACATGAGATTCTATATTTTACATATCAAGGAGTTCAGGACTGTGCTCCAAAACATATGGAAACTATTCCCCTTGACATCATTAATTCACTTCCATATCTGAAACAAAACAAAGGAATATTGTGGGTTTTCAGCTATTTAAGTTAACAACAGAATATTCAGTGATGTCACAGGATAAAAATTGCATCCAAAGAATATAATTCCTAGAAATGCTGGGAGACTAATAGTGGAATATAGAATTAGGATTTGCATGATGAGTTTGGCAAGCACTAAAATCAATCTGTAAGACTTTGCAAGAGGTTTATTCTGCTGATGAAATAACAGAGGTTTTGTTTAATTCAACACAAGCAAGGGAAATTTTCAGAAGAACTCCATAGAGCATGGCCAATACAGTGCCTTGAATTCTGACAGGTAGAACATGACAGGTTTCTATCCAGGTCTATGTGCCATCATGCACAGACCACTGCCTCGTGGTCTTAGTTCTCACTATGTGAAATGGAAACAGCAGTAGTCAAGCACACAGGATTAGAAGTAAGCACTGTGCATGTTTTGATAATAAAAGTTAAGTATTTTAAATTAGGGGACAGGGCTTCCAGATCAGCTTCATCCCTAACTTGGTACTGTACAAATGCCACTGAATTTAGTTTGAAAAAGAAGCCTAAAGCTACCAGTTTGGGATAGTGAAATGTTCATATTTGACTTCCAATAATTCCATTATTTTGTATGGATAATGGAAAATATTTGTAAAGAAGCAGCCTTTCACTGTTTCTATCTATGTGTTCACACACACACACACACACACACACACACACACACACACACAATGGCCAGTGTTTAACAGCAATCTGCAAATGGTCTTGGAAATACACAATATAGTTTCATATATGACATTGTTTCCCCCCTGTGCTTACCTGTGAGCCCCTATAGCTATTGGCTGAAGTGCTGTGATGTCCTAGAATGGTAAGAAACAAACATTCTACATGTTGAAAGGAATGACTCCATTTTGGAAGGTTGGCAAACAGTTCAAGGTCTATTAAATATTATTTTGGGATTGGGAAACTATGGGCTGCATCCAGCTAAATTTTACTTGGAGTAGATGCATTGAAATTAATGGACCTGTGTTAGTCCTGTCTATTGATTTCAGGAGGTCTGCTCTAGATACAACATATTACTTATATTCAGCCAGATCTGTTGACCCACACTTCCTACCAATAATTGGATGGAGTGTGAAATAGGACTAGAATTAGATGTCTGAGAATAGTTTATTAAGGGGAGGGGATTTCTCACAAGTGTAGCAACCTCTTGCTGCATGCATACATTTTTATAAGTCCAGAAGTGAGGTGGTGTATGGGATTTTATTCCTGCTGCACATCAAGACAATTTATGCATGGCAACCTCAGTGGATGGATACCATTGACTTGAAATATTGAACCAAACCTTTGTTTATAGTTCTTTAATAGATTACATAGTTACTAATCTAAAACACACACACACAATTGCTCATAGAAAAGTGCCAATTGCTAGCTGATCACAGTATTAATTCATTTCTATTAGTATATGGACTTTCCAATAGACTACAAATGCAAGAATGATTTCTTTGCAAAGGGACAGCTCAGAATCCAGGTGATCTCATAGCTGAAATAAATACATAATGCCAGCCAAATCTGTCTGTATAAATTCCAATGAGCTCATGTGTTTTCATCACTTAGTATGCACTGAAAAGGAGAGGAGAGGCATTTTCCAGTCATGGGTAAAAAGCAGGCAGATAGAGAAGTGGTTTCCTCTATATTAAATACTTGGCCATATATGGTGATTGCTACATAGGTTGCATGTGTCCATTGAACTGCTTAAAGAAACAAAGGTCCATAATACAAATGGCCAAGAAAACATCTCTTTCTACCTGCATCACATAGCAGACTGTGGTTGGTTGGTGGTGTTAGAGCCAACTTCAGCTGCAAAACATCTTGTACCCTATTTGTTTTCCCAAAGCTGTGGTAGTCTCGTAATCTGGGGAACCGGGTTCGCGTCTCCGCTCCTCCACATGCAGCTGCTGGGTGACCTTGGGCCAGTCACACTTCTTTGAAGTCTCTCAGCCCCACTCACCCCACAGAGTGTTTGTTGTGGGGGAGGAAGGGAAAGGAGAATGTTAGCCGCTTTGAGACTCCTGAAGGGGAGTGAAAGGCAGGATATCAAATCCAAACTCTTCTTCTTCTTCTTCTTCTTCTTCTTCTTCTTCTTCTTCTTCTTCTTCTTCTTCTTGTCCACTGTTCATGTCAAGAATCTTTGGATCCACCTACAAAGGCTGATACAACAATCTCTCTTTAGTGTAGTGAAATACTCTCCTTTAAAGTTGTCGCTGCCTGGATCTCCCACTGTGTTCTTCTCTTCCTAAAAGCAGCTGTAGGCGAGGGGTTTTAGATCAGGTCATAATGTAAATGGGGTGTGGTTAACCCTTTTCCTTGTGCTAATTGATGCAAAATCCCTCCTCTCTGAGCTGCTTAAGCAAGAAAGGTGTCTGTATTGTGCTCTATTCCTACCCACCCCTTTTCTGGAGCCAACAGCAATTTCAGAGAGTTGTTTTGCATCATGGAATCCATGCTGGAGAAAGAGTTAAAAAATCCCTTCTGGCTTGCCACAGAGCTCAATCCAAATCTTCCTGCCATGATATATGGCATGTGGGAGATCTGATCACAGAACCCTTGCAACATGTGTAGTTTGACCCTAAGTTAAACACTATTCAAACACTATTCATTTAAAGCACTTTGATACTACTTTCAACAGTCATGGCTTCCCCCCAAGAATTCTGGGAGCTCTATTTTGTTAAAGGTACTGAGAGTTGTGAGGAGACCCTTACCCCCCTCACAAAGCTACAAGTCTCAGAATAGCTCTGCCAAATGGATCACTGTGCGGTGAAAACATTTCCCAAGCACCCCAGAAATGACTGCATATTTGGATCTGATTATTCATGTTATGTCAAGTGGGAAGGGCATTCCAGAGATTACATCAGGTTTATTCACACCCAATAGCGTCCGTATACTTTTTTTTAAACAGAGGGACATGATTTATGCCTATGCAGTCAAGTGCCTTGGAATTGGTTTCCTTGACTGAAATGAAAAACCTGTCTGTGTGCGCGCGCGAGCATGTGTGTGACGGGATGTGCTCAGAATCCTCCGCGCCACAACACATAGGATTGTAAGCTTGCCCAGCAAATAAACGTGATGATTCCCCTTCAGATCTCCCCCCCCCATGCACCAATGTCATGGATAAAGCTGGCAGGGGCAGAGATGCTGGGAGCAGGTGTACTGCACACAGCCCCATAGCTCCCTTCATATATTGAGTTTCCAGTACGTTTCCGAGCACAATTCAAAGTGTTGGTGCTGACCTTTAAAGCCCTAAACGGCCTTGGTCTAGTATACCTCAAGGAGCGTCTCCACCCCCATCGTTCTGCCCGGACACTGAGGTCCAGCGCCGAGGGTCTTCTGGTGGTTCCCTTGCTGAGAGAAGCCAAGTTACAGGGAACCAGGCAGAGGGTCTTCTCGGTAGTGGTGCCCGCCCTGTGGAACGCCCTCCCACCAGATGTCAAGGAAATAAGCAGCTATCCTCTTTTTAAAAGACATCTGAAGGCAGCCCTGTTTAGGGAAGCTTTTAATGTTTAACAGACCATTGTATTTTAATATTTTGTTGGAAGCTGCCCAGAGTGCCTGGGGAAACCCAGTCAGATGGGTGGGGAATGAATAAATGAATAAATAAATAAATAAATAAATAAATAATTAGAACTGCATAGGCAAATGCCTAAAAAAGCTTATACATGCATAGAATTAAGCCTCAGGGGCCTGCCAGACATCATTTTTATTGTGCATTCATGACGATTTGTGCTCATGATGCTATTGAGGCAGTCTCTTGTGATCCCATGTCCAAGACTATTTGCACTTGGGTGGTCATACTGCTTCTAAGCAATGTATACCCTGTAACTTTCTGCTGAAGTCCTGTAACTTTTTTATCACAAATGTTCAGGTTTGGGGTTTTTGTCACACTTTTGTTGTGCCAGAGCACCTCCAGGTAGCAATAACATGGTAGCATGGGTGAAGCATAGTGGAACTATGCTTCCATCACCAATGCACTAATATTGGATCAAGAGCATCTTGCAGAATACACCCACAATAAAGCACCCATTTAGAAGGGTCCTGAGTTAGCTGAGTCACCACCATCATGTTTGGTCGATCCATCAGGCATGTGCAAGAAACATGGCAGAAGTGACCAATCTGATTTAGGGAAGAGGGAAAGTTCTGCCACACCCCATGCAGTTGCCTTCAACTCTCTCTGTTTCATTCTCAGTGCTGTTTTTATAGAAAAAGAGAGGCTGGAACTCCCCATGAATGCCTTCCTTGTTCTCTTCTACAGTGGTACCTCTAGTTAAGAACTTAATTCATTCCGGAGGTCCGTTCTTAACCTGAAACCGTTCTTAACCTGAGGTACAACTTTAGCTAATGGGGCCTCCAGCTGTCGCCGTGCCACCAGCGCACGATTTCTGTTCTCATCCTGAGGTAAAGTTCTTAACCCGAGGTACTACTTCCGGGTTAGCAGAGTCTGTAACCCGAAGTGTCTGCAACCTGAGGTATTTGTAACCCAAGGTACCACTGTAATGGCAATGGAGCCCACTTGAGAGGTGCGGAATTCCATTCAACTCCGGCTGAACAAAGCCCTGCTCCCACTTAATACAATGCAGTTAATATTTTAGAACTCCCCACCCTGTTTCTGTGTTCAGTATTACTAAAGAATATGTATTTTTCCAGGTGTGGGATGAAAATCTAGCCAAGTCTGCTGAAGCATGGGCTGCCACCTGCATTTGGGACCATGGCCCTTCATACTTAATGAGATTCTTGGGACAAAATCTGTCGGTACGGACTGGAAGGTGGGCAGATGACTTGTAGCATATCTTCATTCAATGTATTTTGGCAACAGTTACCCTGATGCAGAAGATTCCTGAGAACATTGGCACAAAAGCAGCCCCTTTCACTTAGTTAATGAGCCAGGTTCACACATGCAATAGGATCCTGGCACAGAGCATTCCTTTCCAGTGAAGTAAACAGAGAAGCCTATTTGTGCAGGAGTACTCTGTGTACACTGGAGCACATGGATCAGCAATGGGGTCTGACACAACGCAGTGACTGTTGCTATTTTGGTAAAGAAAATTATTGCGATGTGGGTCCAAGAATACATGATATACAAATTAGGCAAAGAGATCACTCTTTAGTTGTTGTAAATGTATGCAAATGTTCACATTTCATTTTTTAAAATACTGTTTTATTGTTCACCATTTGGAAACTTCTAAAATTCTAAAAGGACATATACACAAAAAATAAAATAATCACCTTCACAGCTCTGTCCATCCAGCAAAATCAGAAGCTATATAAATAACAGATTATGTATAAGTATCAGCAACACTCTAGCATCAAACAGAGCATGCATTTTCTTCAGCATGTCCCAGGGCTTATTCACAAAAATATAGGTCAGTTTTTCAAGACACCATGATCATGGAAATCGTAGTCACTCTGTAAGAGGCCAGAGCGTACCTGAGAACTTGATCACATGGAGGAAATAACCACAGCCTAATATCTGTCTTATGCACATCAATAATGCTGAACATTCAGAAATGTCCCTATCTCTCTGTGACTTCAATCACACCTAGGTATCGATCTATTCTCCAGCTGGTGAAGCCATGGTACGATGAAGTGAAAGACTACGCATTTCCGTATCCTCAGGACTGTAATCCAAGGTGTCCGCTGAGATGCTATGGGCCCGTGTGCACACATTACACCCAGGTGATTTGAGTTCAGCTTTTCATACATCAATATCATGCTTCAGTTCAATGCTCGGCTCCCTATGCTATCTGTGTTTCTCTCCACATTTGACTCTAACAAATGGATATTAATCTTTCTTCAGATGGTTTGGGCCACTTCCAATCGAATAGGCTGTGCAATCCACACATGCCACAACATGAATGTCTGGGGGTCAGTCTGGCGACGAGCTGTTTATTTGGTATGCAACTATGCCCCAAAGTAAGTAGCTCTCTTTTCTTTTCACCAGCTTTCATATTAGCACGCAGGCTATCTGACTGAGCTGACTCATCATCTTTTCAGTGGCGCAACAGAGCAAGAAGAGGCTGGAAGCGCAGATCTGGGGCTTTTTTTCACAGTATGAATGATGATGTCATCTGCCAGAGGGCCAGGGCGGATCCTCCTTGCTCTGGACAGCAAATGAGGAGATAATGGCACTTTCACGTTTTTTCTATCTACTCTCTTCTATCATTTGTGACAGATGAGAGTAGAGCAAGGGTGGGTAATACGCTCTGAATACCATTAACCTCTGAGGGCACAGTCAGTGGGTAGGGATGATGGGAACTGTAATACAGCAACATCTGGAAGGACATGGGTTTTCCAGCACTGGCAGCTTCTCTGCCACATCTGAGTGGCAGGGCCAGGCAGGGGTTCTTCTTCAAAGCCTGGCATTCTTGGTTAGGTGGCCAGGCTTTGTCTGTACGCTTCCAACCCTACATTTGCAGCCACAGGGGCTAGAAACTTGAATAACATGAATATCACATCTGGTTATGATACTATTCCGTATCAAGTACCAAACTCTGTGATTTTCTTCTTCTTCACCAAATCACACAATAGACTTAGCCCTACATACAACATCAACAACAACAACAACCGTAACATTACGGTCGTAGACCAGCATAAGGAGGGAGCTGTACAATCATTTAAAAAACAGCAACACTTTTTTATTAAAAAAACTAAAAGGAGGTAAAACAGAATATATATCTAAAAGTCCATAATAATCCAAAAGAGGCGAAGAAGGTCTCAAACAAGGGTTAGGAACATCAGACAAGAGTGAAAGAGCGCAAAAGGCTAGTATATATAAGACCACAGCCAACAGTCTACAGAGCACTCCAATACGAGTACTCATTATATCTAGTTTGTGGCACAGATCATCTGAGCGCTGCTGTGCAGAATCTTTAGCCCTGCATAACAGATAGAAAACTAAACCTAATTGATCCGTTGGAGAGAGACTTCAAACAGTGATTCTATGTGCTAATCACATTATTACTTTTATTCCTCAGGGGGAACTGGATTGGAGAAGCGCCATATAAAGTAGGGGTGCCGTGTTCTGCTTGCCCTCCCAGTTATGGAGGATCCTGCACTGACAATCTTTGCTTTCCAGGAGTAACATCAAACTACTTATATTGGTTTAAGTAAAATAGTGCAGCATCCCAATAACTATTCTGGTCAAATGAGACTGTAACAAAATATTGTATATTGAACTTTGCACATATTGTATGTAAATAATTTTAATAATATTAATAATAATAAATGTACTTTGTGAAGTAGTTTGAATAATTAGATTTCTGGGTGTGGCAAAAATCCTCTTCAGCCCTGCTTAATTGACAGAGTCACCCTTCCAGATCACTGATAGGCAGAGAGGGATATCATATATTTACAAAGAGAAAGAAAAGGAAGCTATAGAAATGGCAAGTAATGGAGTGATCCACAAACAATCTCAACTGGGGTACTTGGATTTAAGGTAATTAAATTCTGCTTCCTTAAAAGTCATTGGGAATATATTTTCTTATCTTCAAAAACTCCACCATTACAGTGTTGTAGTCATATGCAATGTTCTGAGTTTTACAAATGTCTTCTAGCCAAACTGGCAAAATAGAAGATATGTACAAATCAAGCAATTTATGGAATGCAAATTAACTCTGTAATAGAACAAAATCACCTATGAATTATTCTTTTGTGTGTCTGTTATTCTTTAGAATGAGAAAAGCAAGTGCATTCTAGTAAAATAATAATCATAATGTTTGTAAAAAAAAGGGGGGAGGTCTTCAGACGATTTTGTGAGGAAAAATTTACTTAAACCTTAGCAGTGCATGTTTTGTACAGGGTTAGTGTTCTAGAATCTAAGCAGTATTGAGCAAATGTTCTACTTTATTCCTTTTCTTAAAAGCATGCACATTACTGTAATTGTGGCCTGGTGCTATGGACTGATTTTATCTGTGAGAGCACAAATAATGGAAAACATTGCTGCAGCAAGTAACATCCTAGCCATGTCAAAAGAGGCAGAACTTTCTGGCTATGCCCTTCTTGACATACCTTTTCTGACCAGATGCTCATACCTGAAGCCATAAAAGTTTCTTAGGGCATTGCAGGGTGGTCCCTTTACCCCCTTGGATTGGTACTCCCTGTTGACAGATCAGACCTGATAGCTGCTGTCGTGCTAATGCAGGTCCCAGGACCACATCAAGATGTTCAGTAACATTAGATGGATGGAACTGTTAGGCTCCTTCATTCGTGGTAGAAAATTTGCTGCATTCGCCTTGTTCAGATTTGCTGTTCCCTATGACCAAGTCAGACTCAGTTCAGTACCTTTATCCTTAACTGGCTCTGTTCTGTTAAACTAGGTAACAGAGTTGTGAGTGATAGTTGTGGTTGAACCTTTGCAGTCATATATCTGAATGAAATGCCAGGCAGAGTAAGCATAGATGTATTTGCTGCAGATGACCACAGTAACATGTGGATGTCTGGAGCTGGGGCTAGCAGCTTGCAGATGCTAGAGGTAGGGCCAGGAACACAATTCTGCCCCCCATAATTATGTTACTAAAGAGCTAAAGCATAACTGATATTCATGGGTGCAACATCAAACTGATTTTACTCTTGTGAAATAAGCTGTTGTTCTTTTTGTATGAATGATCTCTAGGGAGAGGATGAGTGTTGAGAAAAATGCAAATCCTATATATTTTTAATTTTTTTTGGGGGGGGGATAGGTATGACATTAAAAACGCAATACTTTTTTTAAAACAGTGTTTATGCTTTCTAAACAGAACTAGTAACTGTAAATATATGATTCTGTAATGTAGCAGAAACTATTACATACATATGGTAATGTTAACTGTTATTCTTCTACATTGTATGAATAAGCTGATTCTGTGGAATAGCTGTCTTTCAAGAGTTCAAGTAACAAAAGTTTTCTATTATCAAAGAGGTGCATAAGCTTTTTCACAGTCTACAACAATGGTGCTAAGAATGGGCGAAAGTCTGGCTGCATTGAAAGCAATGACTTATTTTTTTTAAAAAAACATTCCTTTCAGTGAAGCCAGGATTAACCCATTATAAACACACTGTTAAGTGCAACAGGAAACAAAAATGAGATAAGCTATTTCATAAGAGCAGCTTCGTTTTAAAAAGGCAGCAAGTTTTGGAGGGTTCAAAAGAAGTTACCCCTCCACACAGCTAGGAGACATTTCAATGCATCACATATTTGACTTATATGACTGAAGAATAGTAGGATGTTTTAAAATACTGTGTTTACCTGTAATCTTGTGTTACATACTATCAGCTTTCGGTTGATTGGTGCCAGTGGGTTTTAAACTAGGTTCCTCAGAAACACAGGGTTTATCAATAAGATGTTCAGCAGTGGCAGTCAAACTTTCCTGAAAGACAACTTGGGTCATCTCTATTATTATTGATCTTCTGTGATATAAAGGAAAGGTGGTTATATTTTGGTGCTTTCAGTTAATGTGGGGAAATGGGAAGAGCCTAGCAGGCCAGGCCAATGACTGATTGGCAGATGCATAGGTTCCTTAGCAAAACAATATGGGTTTCTTGGCAAACAAACTTATGTAGAAAACATTCCTTGACTATATGAGGTTCAAAAGCCATTGGTTATATAATAGCAAAGTTGAGAAATGTACATTTACTTCCATGGTCAGTATCAAATGGTGCTTGAGAGAACAGCTCTGTGTGAGGCTATGTCTTTTTTGCTAACAAGAATGGGACCATTCTAGAGAGAGCTTAGACAACAATCAATCAAATATCTGGAGCAACAGCTACACAACTGCTGTCTTGCGTCATTGCTGGCAAATACAGAGTGCACAAAATTGGAGCAGCACAAATATTGCAGTAAGAATGTGCTGCAGTTTCTTTTTTTAACAGAGGAGAAATTCTGGTGACTAGTCCCTGCGGTCTTTCACTGGAATTGCCATTTCTCTCAATGCCTTCATTATTACAGGGCTGCATGTTGATTACGTTTAGGGTGAAAACTGATCAGTGACCTCCTGACTGGTATAGGCATGCCATTGTAAAAATACATTTTTAGAACATTGCAATCTTTTTCTCCTTCAAATATGAAACAAATATTTACCAAAAAATGTGGGGGGGTGGGCGGGCGGGGAGAGGACTAGAACAGAGTAAACTGAATTGGTCTTCCAGATGCATGGTGAATCAGTGAGGACCCAGGAATAGGAAGTGGCTAGCTTGTCCAAAATGTTGTTAGCAGTCTAACACAGCTTACCCAAGGTTTTAATAATTACTTGAGTATTTTGGCTGATTTCCTCACCAAACAACCATTTTTGGTGCTAACATTTCATGCTTACAGTGTTAACTACATATGATGGTGCTAGAAATGTTTTCTTTGAGTGGTAGCTTTACTTTTGATGTTACCAAATGTGCCCTGATAATTGTCACCTTTGTGACAAGGAGAAGCAGATTGTCCTATAGGATACACAAAATCTCTTTACCAAAGCACTCCACATCCTATGACATCAACATCAGGTTGTTTTAATGGCTATCGAATCAATCTTTAGTAAAACAAAAGAGATGAGAAAAGAATATAGGGCATGCAAACTAGTGGCTTAGGTTTAAAATGGAACCAAATTGCTTTGGTAGAGTGCGGTACCAAAAAAATAGAGTGGTACTTAAAAAAACCAAAACCGTCACCTTTTTTGTAGGCTTGGAATTTATAACTTATTGATAGAAGCCTTTTGACTCATTTAAGAATACCCTAATTAATCAGAAAGTGGTTGTTGCTTTTTTAAAAAAAACCTTACTATTTTAAAAAAATGTAAGTAGTTATAAAAACCACAAGAGGAATTCTGTCACACAGGAGGAAATGCTGAGCCTTCTGTTCATGCATCATCTAAAAAACAAATAAAGTATTCATTTTGCTTCAGGACTATTGTTCTTACTC